ATATATTTTTGACGTTGCCTCGAGGTTGACTTTCATTGAGGTAATTTGAAAAAAATCTTATTAAGAAGCTTAGTTGCAGAGTATTATGGCATTGGTAATTATGTTTTATTTTATTTTTAATAAGGACGTGAAATCTTTTGCCCGTTGATGCATTAAGACATTAGAAAGTTTATTAAGAATTGTATGAACCCCTTTATAAGAAGAGTTCAAGTCTTAAAAGTGTTGACATCACAGTGTCATCTAACCCTAACCCAAACCTACTGCCTTTACCCAAAATGCTTTATTGCTGAGACGCCATTAAGACCTGAAATAGTTGGGATTACATCTGCATTCAGATTGAACGTGATTTGTTTGTGCTGTAGCGCATGTGGCTAATGTTTCACAAAGCTAGAAAAAAGAATCCTAAAACAAATACTATATTTTGAATACATATGTATATTTACAGATATAGTTTTTGTTGTTGTTGGGTGTGGTTGAGCCAATTCAATTCCAACTGATAACAAGCCTATAGGATTGAGTAGAACTGCTCCCATAGAGTTTTCGAGGCTGTAGTCTTTGTGGGAATAGGTTACCAGGCTTTCATCACATGGAGCACGTGGTGGCTTCAAACTATTGACATTTGGTTGGTAGTCAAGTGCTTACTTAACCATTGCACCATCAGAATTCTTTATTTGTTGTTGTTGCTGTTGTTGTTAGGTGCCATTGAGTCAGTACCGACCCATAGTGACCTTATGCACAGCAGAACGAAACACTGCCCGACCCTAGGCCAACCTCATTACTATTGCCATGCTTGAGTCCATTGATGCTGCCACTTGGCCAATGCATCTTGTTGAAGGTCTTCCTCTCTTTCTCCAACTCTTCACCTTACCAAACATCATATCCTTCTCCAGTGACTTACCCCTCCTGACAATATGACTGAAGTATGAGAGACGAAGTTTGGCCATCTTGGCCTCTAAGGAACACTCTGACTGCATTTCTTCCAAAACGGATCTATTGGTTCTTTTGGCAGCCCGTGGCACTTTCACTATTCTCCTCAAACACCATAACTCAAAAGCACCAATTCTTCTATGGTCTTCCTTATTCACTGTCCAGCTTTCGCATGCATATGAGGTTATTGCAAATACCATGGCTTGGTTCTGATATATATGACTGTGTATAAAGAGATACCCACCACTCATCTGTCATTTTATTATACTGTGGTGATTTGCATGTTGCTGTAATGCTGGAAGCTATGCCTCTGGTATTTTAAAGACCAACAGGGTCACCCATGATGGATAGATTTCAACTGAGCTTCCAGACTAAGACAGACTAGGAAGAAGGAAAGGTAGACCACTTCTGAATGATTGTTGATCTTAAGTGCTGTTGAGTCTGTACCGACTCATAGCGACCCATTATAGGGTTTTCGAGGAGCGGCCGGTGAGTTTGAACCACCGACCTTGGAGTTTAAAGTGACTTTGCAGTCCAGCAAATTAACCCACAGCACCCCACCAGGATTAGTCACTAAAAATCTTAAGAATAACAGGGAAACATTGTTGGATATAGTGCTGGAAGATGAGACCCTCAGGTTGGAAGTCAAAATACTATTGGGAGCTTTCTGTTCCTCCCTGTTCAACAGGCAGCTGCAGCTTCTCTTGCAGTACCAGCCACATCTCTGAGACAGGATGGTGAAGGTCAGAGTCAACAGATTTGGCCGTATTGGGCGCCTGGTCACCAGGGCTGCTGTTAACTCTGGCATAGTGGAGGTTGTTACCATCAATGACCCATTCATTGACCTCAGCTACATGGTATACATGTTCCAATATGATTCTACCCATGGCAAGTTCAATGGCACTATCAAGGCTGAGAATGGGAAACTTATCGTCATTGGGAAGCCCATCTCTATCTTCCAGGAGCAAGATCCCACCAACATCAAGTGGGGGTAGGGTAATGCTGGTGCTGAATATGTTGTAGAGTCCACCGGTGTCTTCACAACCTTGGAGAAGGCTGGGGCTCATTTGAAGGGTGGTGCCAAAAGGGTAATCATCTCTGCCCCTTCTGCTGATGCCCCCATGTTTGTGATGGACGTGAACCATGAGAAGTATGACAACTCCCTCAAGATTATCAGCAATGCCTCTTGTACCACCAACTGTTTGGTCCCCCTGGCCAAGGTCATCCATGACAACTCTGACATTGTGGAGGGACTCATGACCACAGTCCATGCCATCACTGCCACCCAGAAGACTGTGGATGGCCCCTCTGGGAAACTGTGGTGTGATGGTCATGGGGCTGCCCAGAACAGCATCCCTGCATCTAGTGGTGCTCCCAAGGCTGTGGGCAAGGGCATCCCTGAACTGAATGGGAAACTCACTGGCATGGCCTTCTGTGTCCCCACTCCTAATGTGTCTGCCGTGGACCTGACCTGCCGCCTGGAGAAAGCTGCCAAATATGATGACATCAAGAAGGTGGTGAAGCAGACATCAGATGGACCCCTAAAAGGCATCTCGGGTTACACTGAAGACCAGGTCATCTCCTGTGACTTTAACAGTGACACCCACTCTTCCACCTTTGATGCTGGGGCTGGCATTGCCCTCAACGACCACTTTTGTCAAGCTCACTTCCTGGTATGACAATGAATTTGGCTACAGCAACAGGGTGGTGGATCTTATGGTCCACATGGCCTCCAAAGAATAAGAGCCCCCTGTACCACCAGCCCCAGCAACAGCACTAGAGGAAGAGAGAGGCCCTCAGCTGCTGGGAGTCCTTACCCCAACCCTAACCCCCCTACACAATGAGAAGCTCCCATCCTCAGTTTCCATCCAGAACCCCTGGAGAAGGGGAGGGGCTTAGAGAGCCCAGTCTTGCCATGTACCATCAATGAAGTACACTATCCAGTCAAAAAAAAAAAAAAACTATTGGAAAAGAGTTGCCTCCTCAAAGTGTTGTTAAATGCCATCAAATGGGTTCTAATACACAGCAACCTTGTATAGGATTTCCAGGGAGCGGCTCATGGGTTTGAACTGCTGACCTTGCAGTTAGCAGTCTAGTGCTTATCCTACAGTGCCACATCAGGGTCTCCATCCACAAAGTAGTTGACCTTAGTGACTTGGCTAGAGTAAAGCTTTCAGGACCTTTATTTGCTGATGGACCACAACTCAAAATGAGAAGAAATAACCATTAATATTTGGAACATGGAGTATATGAAGTATGAATATAAGAAAATAGGAAGGTGTCAAAAATAAAACGGCACACAGAAACCTAGGTTTTTTTCACATTCGTCTGGTCTATTCTGTAATTCTCTTTTCTTAAGAATCCAAGCACAGTGTCCACAGAGCACCTGTTCACAGCTCCCTGAAGCTTTTCCTGGACTGCAGTATGCTGTGTGTGCTTCTGGATTCCTAGACAAGCCAGTGTCTGCCCCGTATGCTCTCTCCTCGTACAGCTCAATGGGCTTCGTCTTCACCTCTTTACCTTCTCTGCTCTACATGTCATCACATTCCCAAGGACTTCACTGACCAGTCTGTGAGCCCCTTCCTCTGCCCCCTTCCTCGTTTCCTTCATCCCATTAGTCACTATGTGAATGTCTCCAACATGCCCATGGGGAATTCCCACAGTGGCAAGGACTGCTTGTATACAGCCAAAACCCCAACATCCGGTGCATTGCCTGGCACACAGTAGGTGCTCAGTAAATATGGCTGAATGAAGATTTATTACAGAACGTTGGTACATAGAATTACCTCCATTGATCACTTTCATTATCATAAACATAACTATGCTCATGCGCCTTTCAGGATTGTCCTATCACCTGGGATTCGTTAGGTGTGGATTCGCCCATTTGGTGTACTTTCCCCTTCTTTTTCAACCCCGGATCTGTCTCGAGAGAGAAGGAGGGAAGACTAGAAGACTTGTATTGGCTTGGGATTGCCTCACAGTATGGTGGGGGTTAAAGTTCAGATCCCATACCAGCGTTAGAGCCTGATTTCCCACAGATGTTTCACCTGCAGCCCAGGTGAGGATCTGTGGCCAGGTGAGATCTCCAGATCTCCCTTTATGGCTTCTCACCTTATCAAAGAGCCCAGTCTTGTTGCCAAGCATCCGGGGACATCCCTCCCTGGCTCAGGTGTTCAAACCTTAGCCTCTAATGCAGGCAGGTACCCAGTACTGATAGGCTCTGACCACTTAGTCTCAGTCTCCCCACTCTGACTTGGAATCAATTTCATTTCTAGCACTTGGTCATTTCCTTCTTGGTTTTGAGCTTTTCTATGTATTAAAAAATGGAAAAACAACAGCAGCTGGGTTTATATATTATCTAGTTTTGTGTGTGTGAGTATGGGTGGGAACAGTTTCCCACAATTGCGCAGCCAGCCATATTGACTGAAGGTCCATGTGGATGTGCTTTATTTTAGCCTTTTTAAGGTAATACATCTGAAAGTGTTGATGCTCCTGTGTATCCAAAGGTGTTTATATTATACTAGGCCCTCTAACGATTAGCAGTAATGGGCATTTCGATTCTTTATGTTCTAGGTCTCGGACATTGTAATGTTTTAGAGGAATCATTGGACTTACAAATGAATTTTGGTTAATTGCGACCTCATCCTCCACGCCACTCTGTTTCAGTGTTTCTTCTTAATTTTGCATGTTCTCTTTTGTTTTAACCTTTCTAGAAGAACGGTGCCTTATGGAAATTCATTATAAGGGTGACCATTTAATTAAGAAACCATACACCATTGTCGCTACCTAGGTTTCTATTTCATTCCATTCCCAAGCCTGGATTGACTGAAAGCTAGGCGTGCTCATGGTGAGGATCTGTTAGGTGCTCTGGGATGTGGTTTTCTTTTATACCTTTTATTTATTATTTAATCTTAAGAGTTCCATGATTTGTATTTATTTTGGCTCTAAGTTGAAAGTCCAGAGTGTGTTGTATCTGCGCAAATCACCATCTATAAGTATTTCTGTTCCTTCAGTAAGTTCCCTCATCCAACTTGCAAGCCTTTTATTTTCAACTTTATTTGTTTTCCTACTAGATATTTCCACGTCTCACCTGATACCCAAAGAGCCCTTTAGGAAGCTGTCAACGTTGAGTTCAAGTGACTTACTGGATTCTACAGACAAAAATTACATTGTTAAATTATGTGCTACCCTTTCAGCCAAAACACCACCAGCGGTAAGAGGGGATGGGAGAGGTGAAGCAGTAGTCAAGAACATTACACAAGGCCAGAAAGAAAGGGAAGCTCCTTTCTCACTGGTGTCAGCTGAAGTCATGCCCTTTAGCCTCTTTTTACATCTCAGAGAATAGATGTTGCTTCTAAAAAGAAGATCTTGGCTGTAAGATCTGTGCGTACCTCCCACCAGGTTTCCAGTGAGACTTAACTCTTTGGTTTAGCAAGAGTAGAAAAGCACTGTAATCAAAGAAAGAGTTGGTGCAAATGTTTAGGAGCTCAACTGCTTGTTGGCAGTTGGAACCAGCCCCCCAGAGGCACCTCTGAAGGTCCCGGCCTTGCAAATCTATGGAGCAGTTCTCTGCACACCTGGGAGTCCCATGGAGAGGAATCAGGTCAACAGCAATTAACAATGATCAACTAATCATATGATCCTCTCCCCCAAACAACATAGAAATAGGTGTTTTTTCAGTGTTTCAACAGTAGATTTAATGTGTTTGTATTTTCCACTGGAAACTAGAAAGAGAGCCATTTGACAGTGATGAAGTAGAGAATTTTTTGGTTGTTGTTTATTTCTCTGAAACACCCTTCCCACTGGTGTTTGAGACTCTGTTCTTCCTCTTCTGCTCAAACCCACCTGAAATCTCACCACATGCATGGGACCTTTCCAGTTGAATCAACTGTAATTGAGTATTTCATCCTTTCCATGTGCATAGATTACAATTATGGGTGTGTCAAGGTGCGTTTACAAAATCATGAGGTTGGTAATGTGTGTGTCTTGTGGAAAACAGCCTGATGCCCTCAGACATATATGACTTAGTCATGACCAGCTGGGGAAGTACATGTTGATTTCTGTGTGTTGGTGTCTGTGTGTGTTTATGGTCTAGGATTGTTTCTGTCTCCATCTCATTGTTGAGTCCTTGACCTGAGAGGAAAATGCACTAATTTGAGTTCATGTGACATTCTGGCTCCATACTGAGTGAGCTCACAGAAGTCAGTTATCTTCTTTGAATTGCTATTCCGTCTTCTGCAAAGTCTCCTCATCACAACAATGCCTAATACTGTGTTAGTCTATCAAATGCACGTGAAACTTCTTTGTGAATTACTGACAAACAAAACACATGCTCATTGTGGATTTGGCTGGCAATTGGCCGGGATGGAGAAACCCCTCAGTTTCTCTCAGTTGTACCTCTCCATGTTCAAGAACACAACTGTCCTTTGGGAAAAACAACAGCATCCTCTGTATCATCAAGAACCTCCAAGTGGTTTACTGGCTTTCTGCTTTCAATACTGGTCGACTCAGAAGTAACTAGAGTCAACCAGTGTATGGAGGACAACCTGGAAACCTGGACACAAAAGAATTCTGCTTGATAGCACTGGAAAGCAAGCAGAAGAGTGAAACATTACCTGACCAAGAATTGTGGAAGGATGAGGAACCTAGGAGGTCAATTTGGCATTTTCCCCTTTGTTGTTGTTGTTGTTAGGTGCCATCGAGTTGGTACTGACTCATAAAGTCCCTATGCACAACAGACCGAAACACTGCCTGGTCCTAGACCAACCTCCCAACTGTGCTAGGCTCATCGCTACCACCACTGTACCAATCCATCTCCTTGGAGGCTATTCCTCTTTTTCTTCGAACCTCCACTTTATCAAACATGATATCCTTCTCCGGTGACTGGTCCTTCCTGATAATATATCCAAAATATGAGAGACAAAGTCTGGCCATCCTGGCTTCCAAGGAACACTCTGGCTATATGTCTTCTAACAAATATGTTTGTGGTTTTGGCAGTTTATGGTACTTTTAATATTCTCCTACAACACCATCGCTCCAATGCATCAGTTATTCTACAGTCTTCCTTATTCACTGTCCTTATTTCCATATTTCACATGCATATGAGGTTATTGAAAATACCATGACTTAGGTCAGGCACACCTTAGCCCTCAAGCTGACATCTTTGTGTCCTCTTCGCTTTCAGCATGCAAGACTGTATCATCTGCATATCACAGCTTATTAGTGAATCTTCCCCCAATCCTAATGCCACATTTTTCTTCATATAATCCAGCTTCTCAAATTATTTACTAAGCATACAGATTGAATAAGTATGCTGAAAGTATACAACCCTGTCAAGCACCTTTCCTACTTTTAAACCATTCAGTGTTCCCTTGTTCCATTTGAACAACTGCCGCTTGGTCTATGTACAGGTTCCTCATGAGCACAATTTAGTGTTCCAGAATACTTATTCTTTGTAATGTTGTCCATAGCTTGTCATGATCCACACAATTGAAAGCCTTTACATAGTCAGTATAGACATAAAACCAAACGGCCACCACTCGTCTGTCTGTCGTGCTGTGGTGGTTTGAGTTGCTGTGATTCTGAGGGCTATGCCACCGGTG